TTTTTAATTTAGTCATAAAATACATTCATTTGTAAAATATATTGATGGGGTTAATAGCTCTGGATGCAACTTAAACTTCCGCTGACATGCTGTTATTCAAGAGTGACATTTAAACACAAAAGCTTTATTATACCACAGACGAATAAGTAAATATGCAAAAGAAACTCACATTAGTTTTCTTTTCCCTGCAGACCTAAACAGTGGGTTTCAATCCAATCTTTAGGTACCTGGAATACAGCTGGTTTTGTGTCCTACCAGCTAGTTAATTTCATTTAATTGCGTTCACCGTGCATCCCAGGTGTGATTCAGTCCCTCATTATATGGCTAGAATAAAAATCAACGGGGCTCTGTGACTCAAGGACTGGTAGGAAACCACTCTTCTGAAACGTATGCTTTAAGGTGAACATTATCTTATTGTTCGTTTGGCGATGGGGGAAATTAGTATTTCTCCCGTTTTCTGTAGTTAAACTGCAGGAAAAGATTTTCAATTATTGTGCGCCTCTTTGGATGACATAAGAATAAAACAGGGTGTCTGCACTTGGGATTGGAAGATTTGTGTGTGTGCATGCCTGCCTGATTGTGTGCGTGGTGTGGGTTTGAGAGAGAATGTGCAGTTATTCCTGGCATAGGGACAGTCTGTGACTCAGAGATAATGGTTCTCAGTAGAGCGAGTGTGTTGGTGTGCGTGTCCGTGTGTCTATGAGTGACTACAGCTATATCTCACTGGTGTGTGTGTGTGTGTGTGTGTGGAAGGGAGAATGTGAGTGCTATTTGCTAGGGACCACTGTCATACTATTCAATCAATACCCCAGCACACACACACACACACACACACACACACACACACACCCCTCTGCACCCCAAGCACCCATGGGAGTTGCCTGCTTTCATTAAGTAGGCCTGCTGCTTTCTTTCTGGTGTGGTGGGGGTGGAGTATCGCAGAGACAGAGAAAGGAGGTGTGAAGGAGTTTTGTAAGAACTAAGAGCAAGATGGGGAAAAAAGGATCATAAGGGTATGATTTATGGAGCCATCTGAAGCCATGTTTCAGGCAGATTCCTCCGAAAACACAGTTTACATGTGAAATCTTCTTACATCCATATAATAACTTTCAGGTGTTTGATGTTTTTTCGTGTCCAGAAAAGTTTTTTCTATGATTCTATGGTCAGCCAGCTAAATGAGTATAACATTGATTTGATTGTGCATCATAAACAACATCTGGACAGTATGTGTCATTGTTTTGAACGGGCTTCCTTGTTCCTGCCCACATCATCAGATAGGCATTTTCAGATTTAGGCATTCTGGAAAGTATTTTCACGAAGCTCATCTGTAAATGTAACTAACACTGGTTTAGTGCAGATAAAGAGGGACAGATTGATCGACATGCTTTTGCTTGTAACTTCGTGAGAATTTGATTTTTAGAGCTGCTTTCTTGCTGAAAATCCTTGTGTCATTGCTTCATGACACGATTTTAACACACACAAGGTGACAAATACATGTACACACACTTGTCTCGCTAGGAGGAATGTTTGAGAGGGGTATTGATCATAACAGCTACAGTGTCTTGATCAAGAAATTCTGAGTTAGCACATCTAAAAAGCAAAAACTGTACTTGCTTTGAATTGGACACTGTCCACTTTGAAGTGGTCTCCTTGTGCAGTGATACACAGCTCCCAGCGCTCCTGCAACGTTTAGTCTGTCAGAACATCAAGCACCATCTGCAACACGCTAGATCTCCTCCACTTTGCCAAAATAGTGACTCTTCAACCTGAATTTGATTTTAGGAAAGAGAAAGAAGTAACAGGGAGCCTAATCTGGAAAGTTGTGTGGGTAATTGTTGTGGTGTGGCCATAAAACTCAAATGTGTTTTTAATATGCTGTGAGCGTGCATGCATTGGTACGATGGCAGGTACCACAGTTCAGGTTGTTTCCACTGAAGCGTCTCCCTCACAGGCTTCAGGTTGTTACAGTATACCTCGGCATTAACAACCTGACCTTAGGAGATGAAATCACAGCGCCCAGCCCCATGAATGTCAAACAAAACAGCGAGCATGTTCTTGGTCAGGCTTCTGACATGATGGGCTTTTATTATTCTTGGAGGCTTTTCCACTGAAGGCTGCTGTTAAGGTTCAGGATCGTAGCCATACGCCTAACTCTTGTGACCAGTAATTATCCTTGACATGGCACTTTAGTCAGTTTTACACAGAATTTGATGTTACCTCTCTGTTCAAGTTTGAGGTCCACGGTGAAATCACAAATGAGCACCAGCAAGTAGTCAGAATGGGGCTTTCAGAGATCGCTGCACGAAGCGGAAGACGACTTCTAAAGGGATAGTAGCTAAATTTACAGGTACAGTTTTTGCTTTTTATATCCCCACTATTGGAACTTGATCACACCTCGTACTTGTTTGGGCACCTCCCAGAAAGTTCTCTCATAGCTAAATAAGAGGAAACATAATATTTCTGTCCTTGTTTTAAATGAGATGGGTGGGTGGCAGAGTACCATACAAATCCATGTGTAAATAGAAACACCGCCGACTGTGTTAGCTCCTCTCATCCCTTCATCTTCCTCTGTTCCGACACCCATCCCTCTCTTTGTCCCACTGCACAGTGATTGGGCGCTGAAGAGCAAATAAAAGGATGAGTAGACAAGAAAAAAAAAAAACAAGTACTCAAAGAGAAAAGAAGGGAGAGATGAGGACACAGGGTGCAAGATGGAGAGGTTTCATCTGTCTCATCCCTCTGTTGCTATGACAGCAGGTTGTGTTGGCATGTGCTAGAGTTGGCGCTGCCCTCACCTCTGGCATCAGGACACCCAGGGGAGAGTGTGTGTGCATGTTCGGCGCACGTTGTGTGTTTGAATGCTTGCTTTTTGCACAATTATGCATGTGATCCTGCACAAACGATATACCAACGTAAAGTGAACATTTGCTTTGTTTTAATGGTATTCAATATATTTGCTAGCAGTGAGAATCTGCATGGTTTTGTATTTAAGATGATCATTTTAATAATTTTTCAAAATAAGTCAACCTGATACAGATTTTGCATTTGAAGGAATTAAATAAACTGATTTTAACAATGAAAAGTAAAAGTGATATTTTTTTCATTTGGCTACATTCCCTGCACCATTTACAGATGGAACCATAGCAGATAAATTAATCAAGTCCTTTTCATTTACTCAGGTTATTAGTGAAAGACTGATCACGTCCTGGTGATGTCTAGAGTTTGTCTGTCATACAACACAGCTTTACATGTGTACATTCCAGCATGCAAACTTGTATATGAATTTGTACATGTGTGCATTTATTTACAAATCCACTTAGTATACCCCTGGTATGTGCACATCTGTGTGTGTTTGTATCTGCGCATGCACATGCACAATGACCAGTGTGTATGTGTGCATACATGGAACACGGGTGTATATGTGTGTGTGTGAATGTGTGTGTTGGTGTGTTTTGTCAGCCAAGGGGCTGCTTTCTCTCCCTGGCCAGACGGTGCTCTCACCACTGGACAGATGGCCAACACCCTCCCTCTCTCCTTCCCCATCCCTTCTTCTATTCCTCCTTCTCTCCCTCCATCACTGTCTTCCTCTGCTGCAGCCCCCCCAAACACCCCATCACCTCGGTCCCTCGTTCCCCACTTCCCAGCATCCCTCTATCCCTCCTTCCCATCATATCTCTTCCATAATAAATGTGGGAGGCAGCTTCTGTGCCTCACTTGATTCTGTCTCACTTTTAACTCACAGACGGACTTTCTCTCTTCAACACATAGACTAAGCTTTTGTTACTTTTTGACTTTTGTTACGCTTGACCTGAAACAATACCATTAAAAAAAAAACACTGGAATAGTTAATGATAGGACCTCCTCACATATGCTCTCTTGCAAATGAGACCTTGATCTTAACGAGGCTTCCAGATTATAAAAATATGAATGAAATGCTCTTGCTGAGCTGACAACCAGGTTTTACTGGTCAGGCTTTTTCTAATAACTAAATCATATAAATGCAGAGCCAAGAATAGCACATCATAATAAAGTGCCTTTTCCACCGCTTACGCACATAAAATGATGTTTGAAGCTCCTAATGGACAAAACTGACTGGGAGCTTAATCCTTTTGACCTGTAATTGCACTTACTAAAGTAAGTCTGTTTTTCATTAAAAGTAATGGAGGTTATTGATTCTCTGTATTGGGCAGTGCTTCAAACCAGGAACAGATTTAACGTTGCCGAGTTCCCGATAAGGTGCATGAACTGTATATAGTCAAATTAATACAAAAGGCCTTCTGGAAATACTTTATTTTTGTTAACAGTTGTGGTTTTAATTAACAACTGTGGTTGTTTTAAAGGCTTCTTTTTATGATCATGTTATGTTGAATAACTTTGTTGTTGTAGAATATGCATTACCATTTTTTATTGCATCTTCTTCTTCAAGTTCCATGCATTTTTTATGATACTTAGAATTGTTAGGCTGATTTTTTTGTTTTTTTCCTCGTGACTTTCTTGTACATTTGGCCTGGATTATTCTTTGTTATTCTCTGCCTCTACATACACATTTTAGAGGCTGCACAATCCTCTCCTCTCTCAAGCCAAGTGTCTTCAGTGTCAGTCCTATTGGATCCTCAGCGTTTATAATGTGATAATAAGGTGTGAAAATGGAGACACAATGGAGCAGTGTGGATTGGGCCGACGCAGCCTTCCACTGGTCCCCTCTCACACTCTGCTGTCTGCTAGCAGGACACACACATTCACACACATTACGTCACATGCTAAAGTGATAATCCACTCACATTATAATTGCCAGTGATATGTCAAGTTGCACATATCGCTGGCAAAATAAAGCTGGCGGAGAGGCCAAAAAAATATCATTCGTGCGGAGTGAAACTAAATTGTCACAAACCAGACATTACAAGAGCTCAAAAATCCACCTGACATGAAACCAATTACGTAACAAAGCTCTTGATAACTTCCAGCTGGTAACAAACCTGATATGTTCTGCGTGTCCTCAGAAGTTCCGGCGTCTGACAGAGAGGCAGAGCCCAAAGAGGGTCAAGGTGGTGGTGCTGAAGACGGAGAACAAGAAGAGCACGACGAGCGTGATGACAGAGATCATGATGACGACCTAGATGACGAGTCCATCTTCACCTGCGACAACTGTCAACAGGACTTTGACTGTCTGGCTGAGCTCACCGAACACAGAACCAACCACTGCCCGGCTGGTAAGACAGTTCTCGTGGTTGTGTGTTCGAATCACTGTTTCACCATTTATTTTTCACCTTTTTGACAAAATCGCTGGTACAGAGCAGTAAAATAGCCAGAATCCTGATATTTCAAAGATGTATAGTGTGCTCAATCCTGTTTAGTGTGTTGTATAATGCGCTAACTTAGCCATGGCCAAGGGTTCAGGATGGATAGCACAACACTTTCTATATGTGTAAAAACAGTACAATTTTCTTTTTTTTTTTAGCCTAATTAGAACTCATGTTTTGTATCACATTAACATATCTGGTGTACAATTAGAAGATGCTTTTCAGCAGGAAGGAGGCTGTTCTTCCTATGATAGTACAGATGTAACAGTTGAGTTGCATCATGCAGAATTGCCAGTCTTGTAGTTTCCTGGGTGACGCAGACCCTCCCCTGTTCCTGAATACCTATAGCTATTGGAATCAGTTATACACATATGTTCCACGGGGACAGACTTGTGCCCGAACACACGCATTTACACATGCACGTACAGACACAAAGGCCGTTATTAGTACTGGTGTAATTAATGGAGGGGCTGAAAGGAACTCGGCAGGGGCATCTGGTTCCTACAGATTAATCCAAACACTCCCTTAACAAGCCAACACACACAATTGCACACTCACTTTCTTGCTACTGCAAGGCAGTCTCGTCTTGGCGTATGAGGCTGTGCGTGTTTACTTTTGATAGGGGGATGAAGAAATTGGGAGAGGGAGTGGAGGGCTTTGTTTGAGCTGGTAAAGATAGTGTTTCCAGAGACCGTGTAATATAGATGGTAAGACCCCTGCCTCAGCAACCTCTTATTCACCCACTGGCTTGACATCCAATCCCCCTCAGCACATACAGGCCTCACATACAGGTTAGGGAGGATGCTTGGAGATGCAGTAATGCAGGAATAATGTTTTGTTTACCTTTATTAGATTCTCTGCAGTGAAGAGAAAATATGAAGAGCGATAGAGAGGGATGACAAGCGACAAGGGTCCCTGGACTATAAAGTGCAATCATGTCATGCAGCATGCATCATTAACACCAGAGCATTCTGATGCTCTGCTTTTCTATTCATCTTAATGCAAACAATAGGAATACTACACAAGACTTGTTTTACTTGTTGGCCAGCGCTCATTTTATTGTAGAATTGATGTAATCCTACACCAACCATAATAGCATGTGCCACATGTGATTGCTATTTAAAAAAAAAAAAGAAGAGAGAAACCCATTAAGCTTTTTTGAAGATGATTTTTTTCTTTTTGTGCATCGGTGAACACACTCATTTACTCGTCCGAGTCGTGTCACATTCAGACACACAGACAGGACACACTCAGAGAACATCACACCGCCAAAAGCGCAGGGCTGCTGTCAGAGCGCAGGATGTGGCCTGTGATTTCAGCAGAGGAGTCTGGGGAGGGCTACATGTTGCTGAGCGAGAAAGCTGAGGGAGGGGAGGGATGGAGGGAGGGGAGGGTGAGAGGGAGTGCACAAGAAAGAAATGAAATGAAATGATAAAACATGTTTTTCCCCAGAGAAAGAGTGGTTGAGATTGCGGAGTAATCCCACGGCTCGGCAGGATGTGTGCGCACTTGCATGCAGGGTTTGGTGTGCTTGGGTTCATGTATGTGCCAGTGTGTGTCATTGTAGATGTGTGCTTGTCTTATATGTGTGTTGGTGAGCATGCAGGAGAGCGCATGTATGTATGAAGTTAGCGGTGGGACCACGACTCTCTGGTTATTATTGAGGAGAAGGCTAAATGAAAACACATAGACTGAAGAATCCTTTTAAATTCTCTGGTGGAGGCTCCTGGGAGTCAGGCCATGGGACACGCGTACACATGCACAAAACACACAACCTTTTGGGGATAAACACACGCCACTCTAGATCTGCATGAGAGAGTTAATGTGTTCATGCATTTTGTAGTTTGATGTTTTTTCCCTGAGCAGAAACCAAACAACTCAGACATCAGCCATCTTGGTTGGTGGTGACAAGTGGGGCCATCTTGCCAGAAGTAGCTATCAATGATGTAGCGATGACGTTAGCTTGCTGTTAACTTTGCATCAGCATGAAAAAAAAAGTAGAGCAAGACATTTTTCTTACTATATCGAAACTGAAAAATCAAGAAAAAATGACGACCTAAATACAAATAGAAGTCAAACTAAACCCAAAATTGTCCCTAAAACATGACATTTTATTCACCTGGAAAAACTAGCCACCCTAAATGTAGAGGAAGTGGTGCACTCTAGGTAAACTGTACTGTAATGGTAGCTTTACTTTTTAATAATTTTGATTATTGAGATTATTGAAGGCCACGGTTTGGTGGACTTTGCATTGTGTTTAACTGGAACATGAACATTAGGACGAGATAAAAGGACAAAGGCATATCAGTTGCTTGAACTCCACATGATTTGACAAGCATTTAAACTCTGTGCAGATATAATAGATTGTGTAATTTTACTACTTGAAGTAAATACTGACTGCGTTTAACATGTTTTTAAGTCAAGCTCAGGCTCTAAGACAGAACACGGTTTTCAGTTGTTGCAGGTAACCCAATGTAATGAGGTCGCTTTTGTACAAACATCAGTGAGTGTACAGAATGTACTTTCTGTACAGCCTTGCATCTCTGCAACATGAAACTTTAACATTACAACATTGGCGCCGATATTTTAAAGTGTCCCGTAGACAGGTTGTCGACATTGTCCACGATCAATTATTGAATGATATCGGATGTACATCTGCGAATCCCAGGTGCTGGCTCGAGAACAATGTTAGTTAGTGCTGAGTTCTGTGCAGAAAAAGCGCTAGTATCTGTAATGCTAACTATACTGTTGTAGCAAATGGGTCCCAGGTTAGCAGCTAGCTGGGGCTGTAACACTGAATGGGTCCCAGGTGCGAGAGTGAAGCACCAAGTAATTCAGTGCCACTCTAGCAGAAGGCCTATAAAGAGGCACCATTAATTTGAGTGGAAATTGGACAAACACACGCACACACACAGTGGCACAGATCAATGACACATAAATGTGTGTATACCCACTCAAACACGCACATACCCACAGACCCCACACATCTGGTTAATGTAATGCCACATTAATGTGCATGAGCCTGATAGCTCAGCTGGTTTTGTGTGCGTGTGTGTGTGTGATGGAGATTACGTGTCCCTATTACAATACCATTGTTATTCTGTTCCACTGCAGCTTTAAGCCAGTGTGACGGCTCTGCCTTCAAATTGTGGATAAGATATTCAGTTTGTGTGTGTGTGTAAACTGATTTGACTGACACAGTAAGTACTTCCTTACACTGTAATTATATGTTGTTGTGTCTAGTTAACACCCACATGACTGTGATACGATTGTTGTTATCATTAGAAACACTCAGTTTGTTTAGGAAGTATTTGACAGCAGCAAAACTCCTTTTGTACCATCGTTTTGTGTTCATTGTACTGCACTAGCACCTTGATATTCTGAACTGTTCCACATGGTTTAGAGGCTCCGGATGAACTTGCCCGCTGAGGTGTATACTCTATAATGGGTAATTTTTGTATGCGCGATGTGTTTCCGCTACTTTTAGTACATGCGAGTCTATATCCTGTAGTGTGTACAGTATATGAGAGAGAGACAGACTGAGAGTGTGAGTCGGGGGAGTGTTGATGGGTCTCAGTAGGAGTCAGAATGTGGAGCAGAGGCTCCCTGAGGAGAGGAGGAGCGGAAAAAAACCTCCTACAGATCAAATGGAGAACATTCTCTGGCCCTGCTCTGCCACATGAACACACAAACACACACACACACACACATCCTATAAGGAAAAACCCAAAAAGCTGTCTTTACTGGCCACAGCATTCCAAGGTTGGATCAATGTGATGTGTTTTAGAGATGAAAACTGCCATGGAGGCCTTGTGTTTGTGCAGCCGCTGTCCATTTAGTTATATATATATATAAATAACAAAGCTGTGTAGCGCACACACACACACACACACACATAGAGTCAACAGTGTCCACAAACTCGTGCTAGGTGTGAGCGAGAGCTGCGAGAGGGCGAGAGATTGTTAAAGATGTCAGTAAAAACCACTTGAGGGAGAAGAGGAAGTGTTGAGAAGGTAGGCACCAAGTAAACGAGGGAGCTGTCAGTCAAGGCGGGGGGGCGGAAACCGGCGCTGTCAGTGACAAATAGCAAGTCATTAACCCAGCCAGTCGCTTCTTAGACGGTGAGATGGTGTGGGTGGGAAATGGTGGTGTGTGTGTGTGTGTGTGTGTGTGTGTGCATGGAAGAGAGTGGGATACTGTGCATATTCTCTCCGAAGGTATTTGTGAGGTCTCTGTTAATTGAGCACATACAGCTGCATTGTTGAGAGGGGAAGGAGACAAAGAAGGAGGCGAGGGAAGGGAGAAGAAGTAGCAGACAGGTGAGAGGGAGGATGGAAAGCGGCGGTAATATGTGCAGAGAGGAGGTAAGAGGAAGAGGAGAGCGTGTCTGTTAGTGCACGGGCCCTTGGGTGACTGGTTTGCCTCCCGTGGGACGTCTCCCCACCGCTAAGCTCTCGCCGTCTGTCGCAACCCGCTGTCACAAACATACATGCAGAGAAACACCCTCTCGAGCAAGGAGAGACACACACACACACACACACACACCTCGCTGCGTCTGTCGTCAGGATAGCAGCTGAGTCCTGCGAGGCCAAGACTCTTATTAAAACCACAGATCACTTTCTACAAGAGAGGGAGAGGTAGGAGGGGTGTAATCTGAAACAAAATTACAGACAGCCTCGTGCACTCTGACTTGACACTTACTGTGTTTCTGGTCTGGTAGCTGCCGTTGATTGACAAAATAAATTTCATGCTCTTAGTTGTTTCATTCAGTTTTATGTTTAGCTTTTTTTTTCTTCTTCTTCTTCTTCTTTTCCTGTTGGCTTCCATCCTCTCGGCTCCTGTCTTTCCCCTTCTCCCTCCCTTTTGCCCTCTTCATCACCATGTGCCCCTCTTCTCCACACTTCCCTCCC